ACTGACGCCTCAGACATAGCCATTGCTGCATCTCTGACTCAGAACGGCCAACCGGTGGCCTTCTTTTCTAGAACACTGACACCGAGCGAAAAGAATCACTCTGCTATTGAGAAGGAGGCATACGCCATCGTTGAATCTATCCGTAAATGGAAGCATTATCTCTTCGGGAAGCACTTTAAGCTTATCACCGACCAGCGTCAGTTTCCTCTGTGTATGGTTTATAGCAGAAAAGTAAGATAAAAAATGATAAAATCCAGCGATGGAAAATGGAACTTTCCGCTTTTAGCTACGATGTCAGCTACAGACCTGGAAAAGACAATCTGGTTTCTGACACCTTATCGCGTAACCTATGCGCCAGTGTGATCGGCAATGGTAAATTAAAAGAAATTCACGATTCCTTGTGCCATCCTGGAATTACTCGAATGCACCACTTTGTTCTTTCCAAAAACTTGCCGTTTTCTTCTCTCCAAGATGTCAAGGACATCACAAAGTGTACGGTTTCTGCCGCCATGAAACCGCAGTTTTACACACCACGCCCCGCTACGCTCATCAAAGCGACCCAACCATTTGAACGAATTAGCATCGATTTTAAAGGACCTCTACCTTCTGTTACTCGAAACCGGTATCTCCGTACCATCGTTGACGAGTTTTCTCGTTTTCCGTTTGCCTTTCCCTGCGCAGATACATGTGCGTCTACAGTTATTAAATGTCTGTGTGAGTTATTCTCTTTGTTTGGCATGCCTGCATATGTACATTCGGATCGTGGCTCGTCATTCATATCTGACGAACTGTCCACATTCCTACATGACAGGGGAGTTTGCCCCGGCTGAACAACTTCTTATAATCCCCAGGGGAACGGGCAAGTCGAAAGCCTCAACGGGACACTCTGGAACGCAATCCAGCTTTGACTCAAAATGAAAGGCCTTCGAATCTGTCACTGGGAGTCGGCTCTATCAGATGCTCTTCACTCNGCTCACTGTTCCAGGACCTGTTTTACTGAAGAGATTTGACCGTGCCTCAAAGTATGAGCCCGTCGTTGAGGAAGTCCAGCTTATAAATTGCAATCCACATTACGCCCATGTTCGTTTTCCCGGCGGGAAAGAAAGCACTGTATCCGTCCGGCATCTCGCTCCATGTGGTGATCGCAAACATGTCAACGATTTCACGCGTATCTCATCCAATGAAGACAATGGTGTTCATGCACCCCCTCTTTCCGGCTTGCACACGCCTCCGCTCAATAACATTGGAGATATTATCGATCATACTTCAGTCTCACCCCCGTGCCCGGGCAATTCACCTGCATCTCCAGACACATATGACCCTAGCATCTCTGATTTGGCCAGGCTCCAGCAGCGTACACGGCCCTACATTTTAAGAAATCGAGAAGCCTAACCACACTCATTATTACTCATTAGATTTTTACAATCATTCATTCAATACCTGTACCCAATTTATCCCTCTACACACAATCCAACGGCCAGAGTGAATGTCATGAATATTCTTTGTGCTCACATTATCGTTTTGTATTAACCATGCTTTCGCCTTCATTTTCAGCTTATGTAGGTCTATTCTTAGACAAGTAAAGCGCTATTCATTCTACGCTATTCATTCTTGTTCTCGCGCTCAATCAGAATCGACATTCTTTTCGTAACAGCCACTCGCCCCCCCCCTCCCGGGTGACGTGAGTTTGCGAGGATTCGTTTTCCCATAGATGAATGTTTTTTATTGGTGTTCTACTGGACATAATGAGGCAGTCGGCCACTTTTGGGCATTCAAGGGATTGTTTAATCTGATCTTCCTGACGATGGGCTTGTTTGAGAGCTATAGTAGATCTTGTGGGACGTTCGTGAGAATTTCTGACGATCTGTCCAATTTTTTCCAGTAATTTACCGTGATTCAAGGATAAATCATTCAGCCCACACCCTTTCGGTGCCCAACTACCATGCCACTCGAAGGGAGCGCTAGGGCTCGAATACTGCTAGGTTGCCCAAGCCTAGGCAGGCAAAGTTGAGAGGCAGAGGTCGGGTTCGAACCAAGGGCCTTCTGGTCAGTAAATTCGCACTCTAACCATTGAACCAAGGCACACGTAATCTGTATAATGAGATAGCGCTTTGTGTGTCTCGACTGGAAGCAGCTTATCACACGCGTAATACACGCAGCGACCACACTGTTGAGAGATAGTTTCTGTTTTCTTAAGATTGACATTTTTACTACACTTGCACTCTTTTGTGTCGGACATGGTGCAGTATGGTTGTTAGAACAGCTGACCGAAATATTCACCTGGAGAAGCTTGCCCTGGTCGGATTGAAGGCAAAATAACTTGGGTTGTTTTAACCTCAGAAATACTATTACAACCGTCTATGTAACATCTCTAAACTAATTACCACTACCTTGAGTGGTATGAGTATAAAGACAAGTGGACATAGGGTCGCCAAAAACGAATTCGGTTTGTGGAGTTCAGTAATTGCTCCCGGTGCTGGCGGCCGATTGGTTGTTGCGAGCGCCCCAGTTGGGTTTCTTGAAACACCGGAAGGGATTTAAAAGTTTTTTTCACATGTGCCTGGAAGGCATCCGGGGTCCTAGAATGTTATCGTTACGTTCACTTAAAATACGATGGGCTGGGCACCCTTTTTTACTCGTTCTTGGTGTTAAGCCCACTCAGTCTAACAGTTCTCTTTGTTCTGCTGAAAACGCTAGTTCGAGTGGGAGCAGTACCGTTAGCTGAGGGAGATCTAACACAACCGAATGCGTCAGCTTTGCGCTTGGTGTGATGTACAACTATATCACATGAACGTAGCATCAGCTAACACTAAACAAGTTAGTATCACCTGGAATGCTCTTTTTCGGGATTGCGCCTGAACAGCCAGGTTCGTCAGTGGTATTCCCCGAAAGACTGCAGTTTTGAAAAAGGTAGGTTTTTCGCGATCCGTCATGACTATCTTACTCAACAAGACGGACAGATGTCAACCTAGTGGGTAGTACAAGGATTCAAGTCTGGTGAGTAAGCCCTGAAATATCGTCAAATTGTAAATTCACTGTCAAATTCGTTGTACAAACGGTTGGTACAGGCGTGTGTTGAACTCTGAGTTTCGGCACAAGTGCACACTGCGTGTTACCTAGAAGCTACCGGGGCGAGATGGCTCAAGTGATTAGAGCGCGAATTTACTGACCGAATGGTCCGTGGTTCGAACCGGACCTCTGCCTCCCGACTTCCCCTATCTAGGCGTGGGCAACCTGGCAGTATACCAGCCCTCATGCTTCCTTCGGGTAGCAGAGCAACTAGGCACCGGGAGGGTGTTACAGATAACGATTATCTTTCTTTATCTAGAAGCTATCAGTCTCGGGTGAGAGCTCTCATGAATCATTGTCACCCCTTTTTGGGTTTGCTACTTGATTATGATGCTGTTACTGTGTCAGCTCGCTTATTCCAACATCCTTTAAGCTCACACAAGGTAATGTAGTCCATCTCCAACGGCGCAGCTAAAGCAGGCCGCAGCCAGAATGAGGGTCATCGGTTGCCCCGTAAACGCTGATGTACATCAGGGCACAGCCGAGGATATGCACTGCTGATAAGCTCTAATAAAAGCGAAACTCGAGTCCAGTTTTCCCTCATTTGATGCAGGCTAACCAGAATAACTATGCCAGAACAGGAGGAAGGCTGTTTAAACAAGAGTGGTGTGAAAATGAACACTGCAAATCCCGCAACCAAGTACAACCAAAACAGCTTGTCCTCCTCTTTGTTTCCTCTCTATATATCTCTCTCTACCTCTGCTTACCTGATCCCATCAGGTTGGTTTCTGAGTGCAGGGTACTACTTTACGCGTTTTTTTGTGTTCCTTCATGAACGAGGCGGTGTAGCCCTTATTCGAAACCTTTTTGGAACAAAGCCTGTACATCATTAAAATAGAGTGCTCACATCTACAAAAGGTGGCTCGGCTTCATTGTACGGAAACTGGTAGCTCCATCCTGGTGCTGGTGTAACGGCGATACTACTGATGGGAGGCACGCCAGTAGTATGTATTGTTCGTGGAATTTCGCTTTGCGTCTCTTAAACAGGGGAGATCTGTTGCGGAATCTGTTGAGTCGCTTTGTAACATTTGCTTGGATTTGAGAGAGGAATGATTGGAGTCAATGAATATCCAGGAAAGTTCAAGGAAACGCGTTCAGGAGAAGATGGATGTCCAGTTTTTGTAAATAAGATGCAAATAAGAGTTTTGCATCCCTGTCCAATGATCTGTAACCAGTCATTTGGCATTTTCTAATAAATAACTCCGCAGCGAAGGCCTTCTTTTCACTGGTAGCCGTCGGCAGCATAATGTTTTACGGGCTGATCGTTTGCCTGGATTGTGAACCAATCTACGTTTTTCCCGCGTAATAAATTCACCAAGGAGAAGTGCATTCATTAGCGAAACATTACTTCGGGAAATTTACTCAAAGGTGTAACCAACAATGTTCTTATCTCTTCCAGGTCCACATCTATGAGTGCATATCCAATTTCATTCGTCACCGGTAACAAGAACAAATTGGCGGAAGTGATCAAAATACTTGGCCATGAATATACTGGGAAGGTAAGCCTCCCTGACCGAAATGCTAATAGGAACAAGTAGTTAACAGCCGTTGATTTGGATTTGCCGGAATTACAAGGCACCATAGAAGATATCGCTCGTCAAAAGTGTTTAAGTGCCAGCAACGTAATTACCGGACCGGTGCTAACAGAGGATACGGCCTTATCTTTCCAGGCACTCAATGGAATGCCTGGGCCGTTCATCAAGTGGTTTTTAAAGGCTGTAGGACCGGATGGTATGTCATGCTTCCACCACGAATGAATACCCTAGTAGTTGCCCAGTTACTGCGTGTTTTATTGCTTTGTGAGAGCCCATCTACCATCAAGTTCCAATTCTGTATTGGTCCAAACCCAATCATCTTTATTGATAAACTGTGGGACCTTCTGCGTGTGTCACTTTGTGCAATCTGACAGGTCCCTCAAACCTGGCATGGAGGTTGCAGAAATACCAACTTTCCCTTAGTTAATCTCTGTTTCAAATAGTTGGGATTCGCCCTTTCGGCGCTGTCAAAGCTTACTTCTTCCTAAATCGTTCAACATCGGCACGCACAGCGGTCCCGTCAAGTACCAAACGTCAATGCTCGCCATTATTTTCCTTCACTGGATACTTCCGGACCTCCTGATCGTAATAATACCCTCTCTTTTGTCTCAAAACTAGCTTTTTCAATCCCTCCCAATATGTGTAATTCATGGTTGTGTGTGGGCTGAGATACCGCCGGGTCAGCATAAAACTCCTAGTCAGGGCAACTGACTGCTGGAAACTGACACGTCCTATATTTCATACGTAGGTCCTAATGGGCACCTTCCTGTTTTCCTCATTCCATTTTTTCCCGTGAAACTTTTTCCATGTGTTCTAAGGAACAATCTCTTAGTGATAAGGGTTAGGACTCAATCAATCTTTTGTGATCTTGTGGCCCGTGCGCCCCTGCTGTTGTTGGAGGGGAAGCATCCTTGTGTCTCGACAACTTTTGATCTGTCTAAACTGACGGTATGTGGTCTACCAGTCAATTCAATTCAGTTTGTCAGCTATAAACTATGGTTCCAACCGCCAGTTTCGATCATCTGAAAGCGAGAGTGTTGGAGATTCATCCAAGCTTTGGGGGCAATGGCATTTTGGGAACTGAGCATTGAAAACGATAACCTCGATGCACGAGCGCCACTGACTGCACGATGGGGCCATTTCTGTCAGTGCAATTAACCATTGGTGAGTTCATTCCTTGGGTACCTGCACTCCAATTTACGCATTTCTTTACCAACAGTTTCCGGTCCTTTTCCCATGGTCGAGATGCAATGTGCAATCCCCTCTTCCGTCGTTATTATCATGGTGACTTTCATCAGCTGTAGCCTTTTCTCCAGTTTTCAATCTTTTCACCTAGTTTTATGCTTTTGATCACCTATACCGTCTTACTATATGCCGCTGTCCAACCGATCCGTTCGTCCTTTCCCTCTTTCATCGAGCGACGGTGATTACTACTTCCTTCTGTAAACCCTAAGTTATTCCCGCTACACTATAGGCGGTCATCCAGTCCTTTGGCCTGTGTTTTGCACCCACGAAGTCTCTGCACACGTCTCTGGACATGCAGTCATATCACTTACAATCTAGAGAGGAGCGTTTGATGTATTCTAGGGGTTGTGTGTGACAGACAAGGTTAATGCCTAAGGCTTTGCCAATTTGGGACATCAGTAATGGTGAAGTGGCACATCCCTGGATCTCGAAGGACTAGTGTATAAGTCTACAATACAGGATGTTTTGGTGCATGCCTATGAGACGTGGCCTGTGCAGACGGCGGAACTGAGGCATATTCAAGTCTTCGATAACCCTTGTCTCAGAACTATAGCTGCCGAATCCACGAGACAGTTGGAAAAGTAGTTTCCGGTTGTGCAACGGGAAATTCAGTCGGAGAATGTACGTTAGTGTGATAATTGTTTTGCGCAAGCAAATCATCGTTTACTGAGAAGAGTGCTGTTTTCCGCAGTGACTCAAGCAGAGAAGTGGTCAACCTTTAGCCTAGCAGAAAGGAACGAAATCATGGACGAAACGTCTCGGGTACTGTCGGTGCGACTCGTCTTACGGGATAGGACCCATTTATCCCCTTCCGCATGCATGGTTGAAGACGCAGCAAAATATGGCTGCTGATTTATGTTAATGGCGTCGCTAGTTTTGATTCAGATTGTCCGATTGGCTGTCTGGAAATGTAGACTTCAGAATGATTGTGGTAGGCTAACACAAGGTTTTTTCCCCATCCACTTTTTTCACAACACGGCTTTCTAGTAAATAGTGGTTGTATGACAATTAATTGCTGAGCACTGATATTGTGCTGTCGGTGGTGATGATGGTTATCGGTCCCGCCGGAAGTTTGTCCGTACCTGGTGACAACACGAAGTAGATGTTGCTTTGCGGAACTCACGCGACAGATGGGCCGGTGATCCTTCAGAGGTTGTCCCGAGTGCGGCGATTCCCCTCACCCAGCCATGTTAAAGATGGGAACAGTCCAAATGGGAATCAAGTCACAGCGAGATGGTTCAGTTGTTAGAGCGCGAATTTACAGGAAAGTCTGTTTTGCGGAACTCACGCGACAGATGGGCCGGTGATCCTTCAGAGGTTGTCCCGAGTGCGGCGATTCCCCTCACCCAGCCATGTTAAAGATGGGAACAGTCCAAATGGGAATCAAGTCACAGCGAGATGGTTCAGTTGTTAGAGCGCGAATTTACAGGCCGGAAAGTCTGTGGTTCGAAGCCGAACTCTGCATTTCGACTTCTAAGTTTGTGCCACCTGGCATTGTCCGAACCCTCGTGTTTCGGGTGGAATGACAGTCAGGTCCCGAAAGGGTGTTACAGCTAAACCATTATTTTTAGTATTACAGGTTATTACCCAAAAGCGAAAAATTAAGGCCTTTTGCAGAAAACCCGGTCGTTTACCCGGATAGGAACCTCGAGGCAGTTTAACGAACATGGCTCATTTACTTGCTCAGGGGGCGCTTTTGTCTGAGTTTCTGGCTTCATTGCGTGGATCGACATTTCTATCAGTCCCGTCGGAAGGTCACTCGATCCTACCTACGTACGGTTACAACTGGACTCATACCTCAGGGTTCTGAGCTTGTATGCGGGGGTAAATGTGCAATACTGCTACGAATTGAAGGTTCGATGTGTCATGACCCGTCAACGAAGAAAATCGGTAAACTGAGCCGATCACGGACACAGACTTTCCTAGAAGCAAACGGTTTATTGGCCCCGCCTTTATAAATGCTCTCCGAATCAAGTGAGCGACAAATCTGAGAGGTCTCAGTTGTACCAAACAAGACGACAAATTAGCGTACAAAAGACTCAGGAAGTGGTTGTGTTGATGATCGATGGGATTACCAGTACACGGAAAATGCGCCAGTTGACAAAGGAAACGAAACATCCATACTAAATCAATAACGCACGATTTTGCCTCCACTGCTAGCTGTCTCTTTCAGTGACAATGCGCGCGATACTGATGATGACGAGTGTTTTGATGGTGACGTAACTTCTGATGTTCGAAATTGCGCAGTTTATCGAACATGACTGTGGCTTCCATCGCTGGCCTCCGTCACACTGCCATCACAGCTGATACCACTTCCACAACCTTCGGTGACTCATTCGCGATTGACGCGTTCAAGGTCAGTGTATTCCGAAGCTCGCAACCCATTCACTAACCGTCTGTTAGTGTGCTGGAATTCCTATGTACTGTTTGATAGCTATCAGGCTGCCTGCGTTTGACCCACTTTGCTTTCTGTGAGCAAAAATCGTAATGCTATACTGGTATATTATTCTCGTCATTATTAAGGTCTATACTGTGACATCTCGGATCTATACAATTATATCCTGTGAACACTTTGGAAAAATGGCTTATCATGTTTCTCACTTGAACCGCGTTCACCCTTGGACTACGAGATGAGGGATAAATACCATTGAATGGCTATATTTTGAGATCATACTGACCCCCAAACTGAACATATTCGCCATGACTATGGGTGTATTTCAGATGTCCAGTTAATGAATCAAGGCACAAAAGGTTCGTGTAAATTATCATACAGAACCTCATAACTTGATTTTCCAGTAAGAAGTTTCTTTGTCATTACTGGTTATTCCTGTTTGCTGTAATTTAGCCCCGAATCTCTAGGGTACGCAAGCAAATCGCTCCCGTTGACCAACACCGCTTAGCGTGAGTAGTTTTGAAAATTTATTTCACAAAAACCGTAACAAGTCGTCCGTGATATCTTGATTTATGCGCTTAATTTACCTTCGAAATTGCTGCAGCAATGTGCCATTAGCTTTTCCCTTCTCTATATCCACAGGCTTACCGCGCCTTCTGGCTGATTTTGACGACAAGCGCGCCACAGCCATATGCACTTTCGCCTTCTGTCCTGGGTTCGGTCAGAAAGTACATCTGTTTACCGGTCGTACGGAGGGGCGCATAGTTGCTCCTCGTGGACCACGGGACTTTGGATGGGATCCGGTGTTCCAACCTGATGGATTCGACCTGACCTATGCGGAGATGGATAAGGCTACCAAAAATACGATTTCACATCGTTATAAGGCACTGATGGAAGTCAAACGCTATCTCGATGAGGAATATGAACGAACTTGACGATACGTATTGCGCTAAGTTACTGGGAATGAAAACAATTTCGCTCTTGTATATTTTGCTCCATTAGCCCACGATCAAAATAAAAAAATTGTGCATTCACCGGAAGTGACCGAGATTTAGACACTTTTTGATGAAGCCGTTTCTCCACAGGGAGTTACATTCGTTCTTGCAGTGTTGTGTCTCCCTGTAGCAACTGCCTCGCTATCTCCAGAGCGTTCATCTTAAGTATATACGTCGAGTTGACGTCAAAACAGACAAGAACTTCGTCTGGCTAAGATGGAAATTCGTTCATTAATTTAGCAAAACCATCCGAATTTCAAATGCACATTGGTGACTTCCCCGGTGCTTTTAGGATACCCGCCAGAAATCAGGCTAATTCATTCTCTTTGATTCTGAACCTGTGCCATCTACCATAGAGATCATGTGAATCTTCAGAAGCCCATAAAACTGTGTTTAGGATGGAATCGATGCCACATAACTCGTTCCACATAATTTCTGTTCCCCCTTGGATATCTTCCAACTTCAAGCTTACTCCTATTAATTTCTAAATCATCCCGTTGAGGCCGATCAGCCAGGTTTTCTTTGACCTGCAAATAGTCACTTTCATTTACGACGACGGTGACCCTATACATATTTTTTTATTACAAGGCTATCCACACGTTTGCTTTTCTGGAACTATCTCGAGCTCCTGGCTTTTTGAACTGCCCCGCGTCCATTGTTTCATTCATATAGAAAGAGTACCCAACCCGTGCACATCCGAGAACTCTGAAAGTATTCTATTTAACAATATTCAAAAGGGCGACAAACGCCCAATCGTATATACAAACTCCGGTTTACTGTACACAAGATCGGCTATTGGCTGCCTAGTCCCATAGTTTGATATTTCCGTCCCAACCAGCTGTGATCACCTTTGACGTCTCGTGGGGAAGCCAAGCACAGTTGATACACACACCCTCATGGGCTTTCCATTTGGTCAATAAGCGGGTGGATTTCCATTCCCAAAGGCAAAGATTCCCATCTCCATCGCCAGATATGATGTAGCGTTGGTCGGGAGACATGTCCACAGTGCAAGCGTAACCAGAAACGATGTGGCCGCGGAATATTTTCTTGCGCATTCGCTTGAATCCAGCAAATATGTTGAACACGACCAACTGATTGTCGAGAGACTGACAGATCAGATATTTTCCTGGAAGGGGAAATTGTCGTACAGACTAGACAGAAATCATTCGTTTGAGTACATTAATAATAAAAGGGAGTCGGCTTTCCCGACTGATATGTTTAAGTATTGAAGCTAGTTACCTAGGTGGGCATTGTATCCAAAATGACAAAAGGACCTGAGAACATCACAAACGAGAGATTCAGCTGGGTTCCAGGTGAGTCTCTCGAAAGAACCAAATTAGTTTGCAAGTGAGTGTATATTCGCTAATTTCGTGTAATTTGGTTTCAAGTAGAACAAGTAGAACGGAAACCCGGGGACTGCGCCTACCTGATGAGCCCCAAAAAGGGCGAAACCAGTCGTGGGCTGTCGACGGATTTTCAGCAACCTTATGAGTAGTACATTACAAAGAGGCAAAAGGACCAGTTAATCTATTGTAAAAGCGATTGCAGCACAGAATCTGGTGGCGAGTACGATAACTGCCCTGGTATATGCAACCTACCGTTTGGTGAGACAGACACGGCGGGCATCGAGTGAAGTGATGGGTCGGCCAGGTATTTGAAATCCACAGGAATATCCCATTCCCATACACGAAGTGATTTGTCATCGGAAGTTGATACAAACCGGCGGTTATTGTCCACAAAAGCGACCGCGTTCACGGCACCCAGGTGCCTGTCGTACTGTTGCACCACTTCACCGCTCCTGGTGTCATACTGAAACGGGAATTACATAAAAGATAAAGACCACACAGACACCTAAACAAAACAGGCTCTGGTGTATGAAACCACTCGTGTGCAAGAAAAAAGGAATATAGAAAAAGCAAAGCAAGCGGTTAAGATGGGCAGATGTCTAGTGCGGAAACAAAACAATAGGGATTTAAATTCAGGTGTCGGGAGGGGAGATGAAGAGGAAACAAGCAGGGTTAGTATCATAAAGCATCCACAATTAGTATCCTCCATAGTAGGGTGTTGAGCATTCCGGGGCTGGTAGTTGATCGGATGGCTATTAGCCGAGCTTAGCAATTGGTTTGCAAACGTTTCATCGCCAACGACGGCACCGCGGAGCGCGGTGATGATATCCCGAGATTGGTGAGGAAGCGTTTGCAAACCAATTGCCAAGCTCAACAGCCATCTGATCAGCTAACAGTGGACGCGACAAATCTACCGATATTCCGGTATATTTCCAGTTTGAAGATAACTGTGTTGAGTTTATAGAGCTTAGCAAAATGCGTAGCTGAAACGCTAGAACGTATGTACTGATTTTCGCAATCGAATGTTGCCGAAATGCAGTGTGCATATGAAACATGTGATGTTTCCAGACGTCCGGATAACAGGAAGAGTCAGTAATTGGTCCCAATAACAAATAACACTCGTTCTGTTCTAAAATCTGCACTGGTCGTTCGATTATCCGTAGTTATCACTGGTTTGGCGGCTTTCGACAGTCACGCACTCGAAATGTTCCGCTTTTTGAAGTGTTTTAACTGGTTAAACCAAACGACCATTAGATGGTTCTCGATCACACTCTGGACCTTGGTGAGTGGTTGGTAAACCGACCGAATTTGCATGGTTATTGCCCGATCGTGTTCTCACCCCATAACTAGTCGCCTCTGCATTAGTTTTTTTCAAAAAGACGGATGCATAAGGTGAAGGAACAAATATAGGCGGCTAATATGCACACGCCTCTGCATTAGTTTTTTTCAAAAAGACGGATGCACTAAGGTGAAGAACAAATATAGGCGGCTCATATGCACACGAGACGTGGCTGATTCAGGATTCCGACGTGGACTGTCTTCAGTTGAATTTCTCAGGGAGCGGACACTTACTCTCCGAATGGGGAATGGAACTGAGGGAATAGCTCAGTAATTTAAATGCTGGCCGGTAGACCTACGTCTCGAACTCGACCCAGCCATTTCGATTGCTCCAGTCTGTGCATGGACGTCCTTTGGATTAAGTGGCAGCAACCGTATTTTCGTACTCGTATTCATCTGTGTTGCGGTTCCATGTCGCGCGCTCGGCAAACCTGTTTACAGCACAACTGATCAACACGCCCATCCGTCGATCGAGAACCGCATAACTAACCACATTTAACTGACACGAAACGCGCACAAGGCCGAACAACTGCAACTAGATTATACCCCCACTCTTCCCTGCACGACAACTTAACTTTTATTTGAGAACATGTTCTTGTCTCTTTATTTCTGAAGGTTATGACAGTAGCGTCGGAAGTATGTCAGAGTTGAATAATTCATTAGATTTGACGACGGCTTTAAAGCCCAGTATGGTTATTTGTTTCCTGTTGAAGGTGATCGAGTCGTTGGGCGAACCATATAGTACACTAGCCGTGTAGTCACTGTGACTCAGTGTATTATAAACGGTGGGATTCGGAGTTGACGTAGTTCCATCGAAATTCGAGTTCCCCAGTTGGCCGGCACAAGCCTTTTCATCACTAATCTTCAAAGATGGTCGTTTTACGGGAGCGGACTAATCGCCCAAGGGTTATGAAATCATTATAGATGGAATAAATCTCCTCGCATGAGTCCACAACTTACACACAATATCTTCTTATCTGCACAACCAGCCAGGAACAGATGTTGTTTGTCCTCGTCCGGGTTGAATCGAACACAATAGGCCACCCGTTTCAGATTAAACTGATTGGTACATTTGCCAGTTTCCGTGTCCCACAGTTTCACGTAACGATCGTACGAAGCACTGAGGAAGTGAGCTCCACTATTGTCAAAGTCGACATCTCGCACTGCCTGGCGGTGGCCCATATAGCTGCGGATAAGGCGACGTTCCTTATACAACTCCCAGAGCTGAAAAAGACAAGTGTTAAATAGTACGCGCACACTCGTAGTAACCAAGTAAATCGAAATGAAAGTGCACTCTACAGCAAGGCGACCGACTTATTCAGTTTCTGATGGGGCGTCAAGTGAAAAAGCTAACAGTCGGAACGTCTAACTTCGACATGTCTTGATTTCGTCTCCCAGGGTTCAGTTATTAGATACGGAGGCGCAACAAGCACATAGAATCGACAAGGTCATCTTCAGAAAAGAGTGGGTCGCTTAAACAGAAGCTCCAATGTGTAAGCTGCAAAAACAGTCTACTGGTCCGCCCGCATTAATTGAAACAGAATTTCTAGAGTGAACAAACGGTAAAGACAACTTGTCGAAAAAAGACACCAAATATGCGAAAACTAGTACAGCACGACCGTGAGTTCGTACCTTGACCTTTGAATCCATCCCAGCTGACAACAGAAGGTGACCAGATTTTGGGAACAGGCGTATGGCTGATACGCCTCGGGCGTGTGCATTGTTCCATTCATGCATTAACTTCTTGGGTAAGAAACAACGATCCGGTGGTTCTGTGGCGCGTAGATTAACATTGGGGATGTCGTGCGGAGCGTGCAAAAAGCTTCGACCCTGAGATGTGGAGGAAGTAAAGCATGCAAATAAATGAACTTCACAAAGTATGCCCGTGGCCCCGTAGTACAGTACTTATGACGGTTTGGAGAACACTCGTCTAGGCGCGAGCCAACAGGATCGCAAAAATGGAGCAAATAATTTAACTAGATGGTAACATGGTTAAACGGGACAGATTGTGGAGCAGTACAGTATAGAATACTGGAGTACACTTAATAGTGTTGTACAAAACAGAAACCTAGTGATTGTATGGTATGGATAAACTGTTCCTGGATCAGATGTTCAGTACGATCGCAACACTGTCCGAGTATGGTAGGACACCGGACCAGCAGTCCTGAGTTGAGCCAAGTGATTTTAGGCAGAGATTTCACTATGAACACGTCCCCATCGGAGGTAGGCGCTGTTTGAATTATTTGAAGATAGTGACCGTATCGGTGGCGATGTACGAATGCCCTGAGCAAAAAATAACCGTGTTTTAAAACACCCTCAATTGCCAGACCAAGAGTTTAATACCTTTGGATTGTAAAAGGAGTGAGCAACTGCGCGCTGCACAGAAAACAAGTGTTTTTTCGATAATAAGGCGACAAACATGGTGATCTTGTGCCACAAAACACCTACAAACCAGAAGCAAGCATTCGCTTACTTGCGCAGATGTTCATGTTAAATTAAAACTACAAATATGCCCACAGGTCCTGTAAAACCTAGAATCCTCGAGGAGGTTCATAACCATCTGCTATCACCAGAAACTAGTAAACTCTGTCAGAATTCGGTCGTTGATAGACGATCCACAAAGTGTAGAAAGAGAAAAACAACACTACTCACCTGATAATCAACGGGAGAAGGGATGTGGAGGGTAGTTTTCTCTTCGATTGGCGCTTCCTCCACGCAGCGCCGTTTGACAGCTTTCTTGGCCAAGTAGGCTTCAAGATAGACACGATCTTCTTCTGACGGAACAGCCACAGTAACTTCATCTTTGTACTTTGCCCAGGGACCGGTATACTCTTCACTCGTAGGATCCCAGTTACTATCTTTCTTCCGGAGGTCACCTTTTCGCTTCTTTGTCTTTTCGAATACTGTCTTCCCTGAGGTATGAAGGAATGTTTGACACAGTTTACTCATGCTCTGTTCGAAGCAATGTGATCGGATCGTACCATTGGCTTGCTGAAAAGATTCGCTCTTTGAAAGTGTGCCTCATTATAGCAAACATTAGGCTAGGCTCCGTGTATTCGGAACTTGCACCTTGGTTGTAGCAGTCCCAGTGGTCCGGTGACATAGGTCGAGATAGCTCAGTGATTAAGGCGCCAGCTTACGGACCAGAAGGCCCGTTGTTCGAACCCAACCTAAGCACCTCGACCGTTTCTGTCTGGAAGTATACCAACTCTCGTACCTCATTCCGTTAGCACGGCAACTAGCCACCCAAAGGGTGCTGCAGATGAACGATTTTTGACATATACCGTTATTCAATCAAAGAATGCCACTAATAGCTCCTTCGGGTGTCATCGGGATGAGAGGGTGCGGCCCACTTGGAGCGCAAAAATAAAATCAAGTTATCTCGTTGGCTTTTAAGAAGAATTCTCTTCCTGAAAAAGCATGTGTTCAAAAGTTTTAGGGAAAGCTACTAAATACGTTGCTTCTCTTTAGTAGGAGACAGATTAGCCGTGGGTTGATTTCATACATCCATACTGGCATAGTCTACTCGAACGTCACTTGGAATCTTCATGTGTTCAAACTTTCATTGAACATATGGTACACGACCAATACGTGCTACTCAGTTACACTATGGGGTTGATGATGTCAATTCGTGGATTTAGTCCTAGAATGAAACGTTGTCTGCCCTCTGGTAGATCTTCAAAATCACAACTTTTCGGCCAACGAACCAGAACGCCAGTGGTTTTCGCGGCTACCGAAATCCCTATTCAGCCATTATTTGACGGAGGCTGTTGTAGCACTCAAGTGGTATCCGTGTCTAATTATCAATATTGTTAGGAATAAACAGTTGCCTCTACCTGAACCCAGCGGGGTGTGTTCAGACGTCTGTTTGGACCCCAGTATCATTAGTCGATGAGTACAGCGGGTTCCCAAAAGCAGACAAGCTGGTATATACGCAAGGGGTGGCCTAACAAATAATTTAGGTCTTTAGTTCTTATCCGGCCTACAGACACGTGCGGAGATAGAAATCGGGTTCCCTCAAAAGAGTCCCCGTGTCAAAACAGAATTTGTGGATGGGCGAAAGTACACAGTTCTATTAGGGAAGCAACCTGGATACGCATTTGATCGAAAAATAAGTAATCCCGGTTCCACATATGAACGGATAGTTTGGGTTGTACGAACTAGACAGGGCACTAAGTTCAGTTGGAGTGGCATGAAGCAGTAGCAATGAGGCTGACCCCTATTGATATGCGAAAATGCTTTATTGTATCTTCTCCCTTTCTGTCCTACTTCAGGTTTTCTTGTTTCCTTTCACGAGCAAATAGGACGCATGAGTTCGTCCATTTGAAATCCCACAGAACACATGTGAGGTCAACAGCATTGGTTATTTTGATAGCTAGCGTTAAATCATACAAACTATACATGAAGTGATCAGTACGAACTACCTACTGGAAAAATGGTGGTACTCAATACGCGTGAAGTTCCAATTGATCTCTAAGGAGGCGAAAGGGATTCTACGGTCCCATTTTGCAATTTTCAGAACTGAACTTCCACACCATAAAGAACGAAGAGTTCTTGAAAAATTAAATGAATCAGACGGTGTGTGTTCTTGGGAGAGATCCGCCATCAACATTGGTGAAGTATACTAAAATATTTCTGGTAAATACAGTCGTTCAAGCTGTAACACCCTTTCGGGGCCCAGTTTCTATGTCACCTGAAGGAACAAAATCTATAAAATGAGAGGAACTGGGTGTTGTACGTCGCAAATCGATCTCTTTGGTTGTCCAATAAGTGTTTTACACAAAAATCCTGGACGCAACATTGTGAAAGCAAGAAATGAAAAAAATGCAGCACGAGAAGGAGCGCGGAAATGACATAAATACCTTCGTAATTTTCAGAACTGAACTTCCACACCATAAAGAACGAAGAGTTCTTGAAAAATTAAATGAATCAGACGGTGTGTGTTCTTGGGAGAGATCCGCCATCAACATTGGTGAAGTATACTAAAATATTTCTGGTAAATAACAGTCGTTCAGCTGTAACACCCTTTCGGGGCCCAGTTTCTATGTCACCTGAAGGAACAAAATCTATAAAATGAGAGGAACTGGGTGTTGTACGTCGCAAATCGATCTCTTTGGTTGTCCAATAAGTGTTTTACACAAAAATCCTGGACGCAACATTGTGAAAGCAAGAAATGAAAAAAATGCAGCACGAGAAGGAGCGCGGAAATGACATAAATACCTTCGTTCTCCTCTACATTTTCCAGCTCGCCAACCAGCCTTCTTTCGGAACCACCTTCTACAGAAGGATCCTCAGCATAGCCTACAAATAAGAAATCACGAAATTTTCTTAACTCCAATATGCTGAAACATACCATAACTGAGGAAAGTCCTGTGTTGTGTTTCGAAGGCGAACGGATTCACATGAGACTCCTCCACTAGTCCCGTCAAAACATTTTTGGGGGCAAGCTGCTTTTCTGACTTGAAAGGATTCACTGGACCAAACTAAATACACGATTAGCCTGAGGTTAACTTGTTTTACCGTGGGAGCAAACATTTGTTCCACGGTCGGATTGTGTGCGAGCTCGTGCAGGTAAGGATCAACGGGTATAACGGAGAGAAGTTCAGCCTTGGGAATATACACGCTGAATAAGCTGAACAGAGGTTACCTTATGACCAACTTCAGGGGCGGAGTTAACAGTGGGAATTAGCTGACTACGCAAAATCCCACTAGGACCCGGAGCTTCATCTCCACTTCCTTCGGATGAAGAGTCATATGTTACCAATCCAGACATTCAAGAGAAATGTGAGAATACTTGGTGGGCCACTGCAAATGAATTATGAAAGCGATGCGATTAATGATAATGTGAATTCGAGGTAGATGAAACGTGCTAGAACAGACAGTTAGATAAAGCAATTAATCTGGTTTCTAGTTGGGTTTAGAGTGGTTGATTTGGTCTCAGTGCATAAGATGACATTATTGAACTCAGCGAAACTACAGAGTACTGTACGGGTGCTCAGCTACAAACAGTGCAACCACGGTACAGATCTATTCACGAAGGACATGAAAAATAAGGAACGCACAGTCTACCACTGGTGGCTGTCTGCTGAAAAGACGCCAAAATGTCGAATTTCCTATCCAAGAACAGGTGGCACACACATACGGAACAGACTCAATGTCCACTTGGCCTATAGCCAAGATCCCATACTGTTTGCCAGCCACAAGGTACAGACAACTGGTCACTATATTCGGCTGTCAGTTTTGTTCAACCATGACGAAATAAGTCGAAAAAGCAGTTGCAGAAACAGAAGATAAGAATGCGGTCAAGTATATACTGGGTAGAGGCTAGATAAATCACCTCATTTTCATCTACTGATGTGGACCATTATGAAGTACTCAGCATAACATTCTTCAGCTATGAAAACCGCGCACACGTTGTACAGCGATTACAATTGCTATAGGTCCGTTCGCAGATTGCCTGGGTAAGTCCAGGTATATAGCCACACATTGAAGACGGTCACTGGCATAATCGATGCGTGAATGTAGCGATGTCAGTGGACTATTGTTCATTGGGGAGATCGGGAGACGAAGCGATGCACCGAAGGCACCAGCTTGGATGCATGCCCACCATTGAACGCGCTACTGGATCATGTTTGTCTCGAGCCATTGATGTTGCCTATTTGTGAGTCCTCATCCAGGGAGACGGCAGTTACCAGCAAAGCTGAGTTTGCTGATAACAGCTTTGATGATTCGGTGTCAACTCAGTGCTTGACCTTCCCTGGTTCGTCTCTATCCTTCGCGCAGTTGTGGGAAGAGGGATCTCCGAAGGAGTCAGTTGACTGGCATACGGAGCACATGGCACAACCTATGGAGTGTTATCAGCTCATCTACAGTGGGCGAAACTACTCAACGTACTTTGGCACTACTAATCCGACGCTCCCATCAGACTAGGCAATGCGTTGAAGAAACCGATCGTCAAACACAAAGTTATTTAACGTCCTCCGCTCACATTGATCAGGTTTCTAACCCACATTACTGTTATATCTGCCGATTCGTCAATCTGAGGTATCTGCTGCTGACCCGCTCCAGTGCCTGGTTACCGAGAGAAAAGGCTCACAGAAGGGAATACGACAGCTATATTACGAACAAGCGAGTGCGAGTGGAAAAAAATACAACGTTCTCAAGTTATTTATTGGAAGGACACTGTCTAAACTTGGTCCAATGCTGACGCACACGGCCTGGCTTTGGTACGAGGCTGTGACGTGCTGCATATTGTGGGGGCGTTGTATGACCTTGATCAACGCAGACTCTCGCTGCCTGGGTTTGATACAAGGCTGTGAGGAGCTGCATATTAAGGGGGTGTTGTCTGTCTGGTCAACGTCTAGCGGAGCTGACAGTCTCGGTAGATTTCGGGTATTCCTGACCTTCCTGATAATTACAACCAATCAATAATTCAATTCATCAGCTATAAACCATGTGCGAATGCCACATTGGCCCCAGCTACTACAAGTTCGGTCGTCGGAAAGTGGGAATGTGGGTGACAAAGCCAAACCTTGGATGCTACCGTATGTTCGGTTGTTTCGGGAACTTCGTAGCTACGTACAGAAGGCTATGGCTTTGATGCGCGAGCACCGACTGCGCGATTGGGACATTTCCGCCAGTACCATCACCCATTGGTGAGCTGAGTCCCAGGATCCCCATCCAGGGAGGCGTTGCCGACCAGGCACCGACTGCGCGATTGGGACATTTCCGCCAGTACCATCACCCATTGGTGAGCTGAGTCCCAGGATCCCCATCCAGGGAGGCGTCAGTTGCCGACCAGACTCAGTTTCCTGGCTAGTGTTTTCATACTTCGTTCCCAAGTTATACATGGTCCACTCTTTGGTTGCTTCCGCTCAATACATGGCTCGGCGAAATACGCCCTGCGAGGCAGACGTTCCTCTGGCATGCAGAATAAATATCCTAAGCAGCGTAACCTATGAAGCCTAAGTAACCACCTGTCTTCTTTCTAAAACCATCTGGTGTACTTCATCATGGGTAATCTGACGTCTCCACCTGACCCCACAATACTTCAGAGGTACCGAATGCCAAACTCTGACAGCTTTCGTATGTCCTCTCCTCGTTGAGGCCACCTTTCTGATCCATGAAGCATCGTAGACCGTACTGCCTCAGTGTAAACCCTGTCCTTGATAAACAAACTGACGTCACGTTGGCGCCATAGGTGCCGGAGATCTGGCCCTGGCCTTCCCGAGTGGAGAAGTAATTTCACCTCCAACAACTTTTCTGAAGAGTGCGAGGTGCAGGAAATCCGAGCCAGGTATCTTATCGAATTGAAGGATTGACATCTCACTCAGGATTCCAGTTGTTGATGGCGGTCTGGTGTCAATGGTCCATCCAGCCCTGCTGGGTTCTTTCAGCAATTATGTTGGATGTCTGTTGAACAGTTCTTTGAAGTGTTCAGCCCAACATCCAAGACAATTTTTTGAGTAAATTGCCATCCAGTCTTCCTCGCATACCGTTTCGCCGACACATCCTCTTTTGATCGCTATTAATAGCCGAACATCACGTTAATTGGACGGATTTGTTACGTTCGGGGTAAGGATCAAACGAACGCGTCTCGATTCGTCAGAATCTGGATCGGGTATCTATATCTCGACGGTTCTCGCCCCCTCATGAAGATTCTAGCACAACCTTGCGGAACACTCTGTGATGACCCTATAAATACGGTTGTAATAATCTTCATCTATCTCCATGAAGTGCTGTCTCAAGCTATCGTGCCTTTTGATATACCATAGTGGGCGGAGCAGGAAGCCAAAGATCGACATAGAAGTTGCTCCATCGTTTGCAGTACACAACTGGCCACAACCCGAACGAGAGATATCAATTTCGGCACCTCAACTCCAAGTAATTTTACAACAGTAAAAGGAGCAGTCCGAATGAGGCGAAATGATGCTTACTGAATCTCTGATGCCCACTATGTTAGTTAGTGGGTGAGCCTCCGTCTTCACCCACGAATTGAACAAATGCCCTGGGAACATTTCGACCCCACAGACATTAGAGGCTGTGAGTCTTCCACGATCACGTCGGTAACGAAGTTAAGGGAATGTGAAATAGGGTAGGCTTATCTGACACCCTTTAAAGTAGTGAAATGAGGCCAGAGTTTCCCGTAAACCACTAGCCCGAGAGAGTTTGCATACAACGCCTGACAAATTTACGGAAAGCATATTTGATCCGTAGACACTGACATGGTGCCCAACAGCCCAGAGACACAAGGACAATTTTCAAGTAAAGGAAAACCATCATTGTTGGTTGCTGGTAGCAGTGTCGCTGTTCCAGAATCTGTCGAAAAACAAAACTTTTTGGCAACAACCAATCCAAAACAAAAGAAAACTACCGAAAACTGGCGTTCCAGGACGTCATCAAGGCATACAAGATTCAATGCTAAGGTTATGAAAGGCATTACCGAAGAAGTGTTTACACCAGTCTTCCGTGACACAAACTCGGTGTCAAAAGGTATGATCAGTTCTCGCGTATGCATATGCACGAAGATTTGGAGAGACACTGTTTTAATTGGAACGATACTCGCACACTAAGGCAGGCGAGCAAATAGAGCGTAAATACATGAGAGTTACACTTCACCGAAAGCGACAGCAAACACAATGAGCAGGATTCAGTTTGCAAATAATGAGGACAATAGAATACCAAACCTACAGAGCCCGAATCTGCGTAAGAAACCAAGGGAAAACTTGTAGAAGAGGCGAGATAGAAGCTAAGGGACAAATCTAGGAATACACCTAGGAATAGGTTGGAATAGACCTCCAACCGCTAAAGCAGGGAAGCGACCTGTATAACGAAAGCACCCAACTGATCGGTCAAATTCGGAGATAGATAGCTATTTAGAGAACAGGAAAGCGCAAATGGTCAACCAAACATAAGGATATCAGGCCACGACCCAATGCAAACTATGAGCGGATTAATCAAGACGCAAACATAGACCTTTCCAAAACAGTCGCACTAAAAGCGTCGAGATCCCGTACTACAAGAAATATAAAGGTCTGGGGTTAAAGTTCTTCACACGAGGAGAGACGGACTAGAAGAGTTTGACCCTAAATCCGCTCTCCCCCAATGCTAGCAGCTCATCCAATATTGCGGGCCGGATGGATTTCTACACGCACCTGTTGTGCGAGGCAGTATCGGGGGTGAGACACTCACGTTTTATCCCTGTTCTATCAAACTAGGCTAGTCAGTCGCTGTTGGCTGAATCAGACAACTGAATCATTGGCTTCAGGCACAATCTCCAGTGAAATCCTACTGCTACCTTGTGGATCAGACTTCTGAGTCAGAGACTAGCGGCCTGGTCCCAGAAAAAATACCTCAGACTCATTAACTTCTGGGTTATATTTTTAGTCAGGAGATCAAGGTAGGGTGCTTTAATAAACTTGCTTCTTCGGTCTGATCAACCGAGAAGTGTCATTTGCCCTCATACTCTTTTGTTTGCCTAAGTCTCTTTACAATTTCTACCCACCTTACAAAAGAAATCCGCAGGATGAGTTTACTGTCAGGTATCCTTATCCAGTGAACCATCCATTGGCAGAAAACCGCACCATCACTCAAATTCTCCGTAATCCACTTCATATACTCCTGCCCACCTCACCATTTACGCCATTCTGAGGGAGACGCGGAAAACAACACCCGGTAGACGACTATACGATATAAGCGGCATATGGCCGAGTCACCACGGGTATGAAGCTGGATGTCTTCGACTAAAATAACTACTGCATGACGAGATACCTGTATTCTAAGCAATAATAATCACCGGTCAGTTGTAACACCCTTTAAGTGCCTAGCTGCCGAACCAGCAACCTGAAGTACGAGGGCTGAGATACGGTCAGATTACCCAAACCTAGAAAGGAGCAGTCGAGGTGTGGAGGTTGAGTCCGAAGGACAGACCATCCAGTCAATAATTTCGCGCCTTAACCAGTAAACCATCTCGAGCTTGTTACGTCCTTAAGAATTCGTTGATGCCATCTGACACCAGCAACGCTTCTCATGCGTCAGTGGTCTAAAACATGGAGACGCTTCCTATCACCTGCGCGCAGAGGTAAGATGTTGCAATCCCTAAACCATACAGCCCCTACTATGATCTAGCACAAGTGGTATGCCTTTTTGACATACCTTTTTTGGCAAACATGCTTCGAGTCTTCGAAATTCGTGCACTGACTTTATCAAACATTGCTGTCGGATCGATATGCACTCAGGCACTGCTGAGTAGGAAGTAGAGTGCAGATTCACAGTCCGTGCTTTCGTTACAGGTCAACCCCCCAGAAAGGAGGTATCTGATTGTCGTCCGAATCATTCCGCCCAAAGATCTTTTCCCTCTTGAAGTTTGTGTACGCAGACTACGAAATACGCAAATAAAAAGTGTGGTGATACCTTTAAGGTGATCGGAGCGAATTCAGTTTCGCGTATTCTGAGCCACGATTCAAGACTGCAAATCTTTCCGGGACACATAACTTGATTCCGATCATGACAGTGTGGGCACGCCTGTCCATTGGCTATTTTCAAACCACACAAGTCAGAAAGAGATAGATTAGTCCACAGTCCTTCGAGAACTACTGCATCCCAGCCGTATCAACCTGGGCGAGCTCTAGTACTCTTTGAAATGAACCAGAGAATACAAGTAGACCGATTAAGTGGACATAACCTGGTGAAATGCAAAAGCATTTGTGCTAGCGGCATTTACAGTTTCCAGCCTGAATCCTCCGATACGATCAAATGACCACTAAGATCGTCCAGATCGCTAGACCTGAGTGATGCGGAGGGAATCCATACCACCGGGCGAAGAGTACGACGCACACAAAGCCTCTAGACGCCAAATGAAGATTAAAATCGTTCACCTGTAACATTCCTTCTGTGCCTAGCTGCCATACAACCTTAAGGAAATACGAGAACAGAGACAGTGGCACATCGTACAAGCCTAGACAGGAGCCGAATTGCAGGGCTTCAGTACGGGCCACATGTCTTCCAGTCAGTAAGTTCGCATCTTCATCGCTAAGCCATCTTGAGCCGTCGACAGTCAAATGGTTTAGAATTCAAAGAAAGACCGAGAGCTACGGTACACATCGAAGGCCTGGGAGATGGAAGAAGCTTGTGCTACCCGAATTGGCAGTGCCTTATACCACTTAATTTGACCAACTCACCAAAAGAAAGCAAGAGTTGGTGAGAACAGTGAAAACAAGGGCTGCGTAATTCGTTCGCAGTGGCGCAGATTGGAAAGAGTCCTCCAAAGGAAAATTCGGCTGACCTCTGCCTTTTGACTTCCTCTGTCTAGGATTGGGCGACCTGGCAGTATCCTACCCCACATACCTCATTCCGTTAGCACGGCAGCTAGGCACCGAAAGGGTGTTACAGCTGGACGATTACCTTTATCTTTTAGCCAGATTACTGTAACACGTCCCTGAAGAGTGCATGCGGGCGAATTGTTAGGAGGCAATCCTCCTACGAACATATTTCTCACATTTCTCTCTCTATATTTCAGCCTTTCATTGGACTGTTTGTTCCATTCCATTCCTGATTCTTCGAACCTCGATATTGGCTGTTCAGTTGCCGCGGTATAATTTCCTCAAGGCTTTTTGTCTTCTCAATTTCGTGTGTAACTGACAAGGTTGATTGACTGATTAGTAGAGAACATAACAC